CCTTATAACATGTAAATGAGGTGAGAAAGTTCTTARTAAGTGATAGTATAGATATTGAAAGATGACCTGGATTTAAGGTGAAACTGAGTTCATGGAAATCCTTTGAGGCTTACCAGATGTATAGAAACTACCTATAGCTCAGKAAATCCCTGAGGAAGTATGTATGCTTGCTTTCCTCTTACTGTTAGCAWGCTGGTTTGGATGCTGTATGGGGCAGACTGCCAAGCTAGATAGATCTTTTGGTTCTGACATGGTCCAGAGATTCCAATGCACTTSAGATGTCCTTTGAATATATTTGGTAGTGTCCCTGTTGTTCAGCATTCTTGCAGGTAATCTAAAAATCAGAAAACTCTGTAGTAGCAGCATTTTTTTGGTAATGCAAAATTTAAGATAATTCAGTCTATTAGCAGCTTATGATACTACATGAAGAACACTATATGAAAATGAATGTTGCTAAAAGCAAAGTAATACATGTAAGAAGAAAAAAGAMTTATGCATGAATGCTGATAGGCTAGTTTTGGACTAAATTCATTTCAGAATAGAGAGCTTGTAACATTATCCAGAGTTCTCAGATAAGAAAAAGTTGATTTATCATCATAATGAATTTTAAAAATTAAAAGATGTTGGCTGCTCACAATTTTCTCAAATGAAAAATTAGAATACTGCTGATTAAATAATCATGAGTTTCAAGTTTAAAAAGAAACAAATAAACAAACAAACAACCCAACCAGAGCCAGTTATTTTTGTGGTTTTGTTTGTTTTTTTTAAGAAGCAATTTCCTCCCACTGGGACAAGTGTATGTAGTGAGGAAAAACATAATGGTTGAAAAAGGAAGTAGGGCTATAACACAGGAAAGGGCAATTGGTAGACATTAAACACTGTGACTCAGGTTCATGCTGTATCTCAGGAAGCCTTTGGACTGATTAGTCAGAGGAAGTGATGATATTGTATTAGAGGGATCAGTCTCTAAATCCTCTCTTTCTTATAATTATTCATTACTACTTTCTTCTGGCCTCTCTTGGAGATCCCTAAAGGTTCTATTTGTTGGACTATAATCCTGGACAAATTCCTTGTTAGGGAAAAGTTTTCTGTGGTTGAAATATGAATATCTTTCCTTTAGAATCCAAAATGGTGATTATTTCAGTCTTGGAAATAGTAAATTAAAGTTGTCTATAAAACTTGAACAAAATTTGAAATTGTTCCCAACATGGGGACTTGAATTATCCAAATTGTAGCACCCCAGTAGGTGGATTACAGTATTAATATTTTCCTGGAAGACTCATCTTTGGATCTTTGTTGTAGAACTGTGTATGGTTTATAATGCAGTATGTGAACAGCTAGTGCAGTCTGTCAGCAGCGTGTGGAAATGATGTCTTTACTTGAAGTTCTGTGATGATCTTATAGTAGTAGGTAGTGGTAGATGGATAGTGAGGATTGTGTTCATTGGAACAGTTTTCACATCCAGTTCAGTAATATTTGGAGGGTAGGGGCCACATTAGTCCTTGACTGAAAATGTGCCATCCTGGGAGCAGTGTCTTACAAAAAGGTGCAAGATAGTGGGGGGAGATGAAGAGTAAGTGTCCTCTGGAAAAGCTTAGTGATGTCTCATTGGGAGAGTCATATTGAAAACATTGCAAAACATTTTAATCCTATTAAAACTTCTTTAAATTAAGATTCTTACTGTCTTTTTCCTGATTAATGACAGATGTTCCTAAAGTATTGTTAATTTCTTCCTTATTCTCATTTCAAGGAGTAGGATCAACTTCGTTTGACAGTTTTCAAGTTGATTCTAAATGTTTCTAGGAAGAAATTAATGATTTCATCACATATGTTTATAGAAGGAGAAATAACTTAGAGTGATTAATTTTGCCATTGTAAAATTTTCACTTCAGAGTCATTTTGATGAAACTATCCAGTTTGAATTTTCTGGTCTCAATGTCATTTTGGTGTAGATACTTGAGCAGGTGCAGCATTTCATGCAGGACATAGCTGCATTTCAGTAATTGTGATAAATTAATTGTTTCTTCTTTTAAAATGAAAGGAYGAAGTATTTAAACAGAAAGTTTAAAAAAAAACAAATGAAAGCGATCATGTCTACTGGACTAGCCTTGCTAAATAGATGAGCTGTGGCAGATAAATCCTTTCAAAAAGAGTGTCTATTTTAAAATGGATGCCTCTTGTTTTATTTTGTTAATTTACATTCCATAGAACTACCATTCGAAGGAAGTGTTTTTTCCTTAGTGTCTAAAGACTAAATTTGTTGGTTTTAAAAAAATCGAAAGTTATGACTGCTGTTCGTCAGCTGTGCCATTTGTGATCAAGTTGTGTCTGTGATTAATACTTGTAACTTTCTGTGGGCACTTGCTAATTCTGCTCCATRGGATTTCACCTGCATTTTTCTCCACCCACACCCAAACACTTAATTTTTCTCTTTTTGAAGAGATAGTCAGATTGCCATGCTGCTTATTGCCACGGTGCTTTTTTTCTGTTAGATTGAGCAAGGCACTGSTTTAGATTTATTTCTTCTTCATCTATGGAATATGAAAGTTCAGTGTTTACTATTCTATTGCTTTAAAGCATAACCCATCATGTTTGCTAGCTGTATAAAAGACATCTCTTGGACCCTGTTTTAAAGGAAGGCAGTGATGGTGTGAAAAAATACTCAGAAGAAATGTTTCCTTGCTCACCAGTAAATATTATGCAAAAAGTCTTTAGGCATGTGTTTTTACTAAAATTCCCCTTATTTTGGAAAGATCTCTGAGTTTCCACTTGACTTATTAACACCATCTTCAGGTTTCTTTGCAGTTTACTCTCCACATATGTTCTCTGTGTTTTCACCAGGGACTTGAGCAGTTCTCGGGTCATGTGCCTTTGTCCAGTTTGTAGCCAGACATTTCTTATTCAGGACCTCCTTCTTGCTTCCTCCAGGGTTTTCATTATAATCTTCTGTTTGCACCATGTCTTTTTCATAGCATTCGATTCTGTTTGTTTCCAGCCAAYTGTGTCCTTGTAGTCAGGAGCAGCACTGAGTCAGAGCTCAGAGATGGTTTTGTTATGATCTGAGGAGGCGGTAGCGATGTTCCAGGAGATAACATGTCAGAAACCTGGAGATGCTGATTCATACACATGCAAGATATAATTGATGGCTGCTCCTGGCAAGGTGGTTCCCAGTGATGTGCTGTACCTGTAGATAGAGTAGAGCAGAATGCTGGACATGATGAGGTTTCAGGTTTCCCTCTTGGTTGTAAAAAATCACAGAACAGTTAGGGTTGGAAGGGACCTTTGCAGATCATCAAGTCCAACCCYCCTGCCGAGGCACAGTCATCTAGAGTAGGTTACACAGGAACACATCCAGGTGGGTTTTAAAAGTCTCCAGAGAGGGAGACTCCATGACCTCCCAGAGCAGCCTCTTCCAGTCCTCTGTCAAAGTAACAAAGTTGTTGTTTTTTTTTTAATATTGAGGTGAAACTTCTTGTGTTTAGAGACATTGCTCCTCATCCTGTCTCTGGACACTGTGGAAAAGAGTCTGGCACCATCCTCTTGACACCCACCTTTGAGATAAGTTGAYAGTATTACACAGCCAATGCAAGACAACAGTTGTTGAGTAGGGCTATCCAGCACCTCCAAAAACTCCAGGAAACGAGAGCTACTGCTTTCTTGGGAGGAGGAGATTTACAGTCTCTTTCCTCAGTGTGAGGTAACCACTGCTGAGTGAATGCCAGCTGGTGTTTGGAGTGCAGATGTTTGCCTAGAACAGCAGTGAAATGACTATGTTCAGTGACAGAAAATGCTGTGTGGCCTGACSTCTCACTCAGAGCACTGAGGTATGAGACAACACATGTTCATTGCAAAGAATAAGTAATTCTCTTATTTGTTCTAATGTTCTGCACATTTGGCTTAGCATCTGAAAGTGTACCAGCCTGTAATAAAAATGCCCCAATTAAAATTTAACACTTGAGAATACAGGAAAATTAATGGTTTCTTTCTTCCCTACTTCTAGGTGCTCATTAACAGTATTTTGCTACACCTGACATGCTTCTTCTTGTAGGCCTTTTCCAAGAACAGTTCTGTAGCAGCCCATCTGCTTTATTTAGTTGATTCACAGCTAATGTGTGCCATGATCAGCTGCAATGAGGTGGGGAAGATCTCTTACCTTTGTTGCCTTGCCCTTGATGCTCTAGTTGGGTTCAGAGAGTCTCTTTATGAAGGATCCACAGAACACACTGTAAGATTTCTAGACTTTAGGATAGGGCAGGTAGAGGAAAGGGGAGTTAATCTTTGCAGAAACCCCAGTGTAGGCAGAGAGGGGTAACGTCTTTGGAAAAAGAAATGCTAAACAAAGTTCTCAGAAGTGATAATGACTTTCCTCAGGGACCAGGTGAAAACAATTGCAACCCAGGAATTTGTTTCACCTTGCTGAGAACAAGACTCTAAGCAGAAAATGTATTGTGTAAAGAGACAGTGGGAAAGAAGAGGTGCTTATGAATGCTGATTTTGTCTCATCTAGCTATTGCAGTTTTCAGTATTTCAAAAGTTACCTTATCCTGTGTTTCAAATACACCAAGTTCAAAGGCCTTTTGATGATGATCGCTCTAAGGGGTGCAAACTGACCCCTGTTGAATTTTGAATCCCATTCCAAGTATACATTCCCTTAACTCAAAATTTCTGAGCTCACTGGTTGTATGATTACCTATTTTCAGACTAAGAGAGTAGAAATAAATTGCCTGCAGCATGCACACTCTTACAGGGCCAGGGTACCCATATGCAGTTTGTGCTGCAATCTTTTTGTAGCTGATAACTTTCCTTTGCTCAAAATGTTTTKATTATAAAGACTCTTCATAGCTGAGGTCTGTTGAGACATAGAATATTTTGGGGAGAATTTACTTTCAAAGAGAGTACATTTACAAATGCATTCACTCAATGCCTGTAATGATATTTGTTGGCCTAATTATGACAACATTGATGTAATATAATTCCTTGCTGCTTTAATAATTTTTCAGATTCACACTTCTCTAATTAATGGACGACCTAGTGCTGATGATCCATCGCGTGAATTACTGGAGTTCACCTCCGCTCGCTTTATTCGCCTGAGATTCCAGAGGATACGGACACTAAATGCTGATTTAATGATGTTTGCACACAAAGATCCAGCTGAAATTGATCCCATTGTTACAAGGAGGGTAAGTTCTGGCCAGACAGTAGAAAGGCAGTGTAGAAGTTCTGTTACACTTGTAAATGCTGTACCTGCCTTTGTTTGCCATAGGAAATTYTGGGAGCTGATGACCTGTTGTTACCTTTCAGAATCCTCGTGTTGGAGAATTCCCTGTTCACTCTATTTTTGTTATCTTCTGTAGAGTAGAATTAACAATTTTACCTTTTCTGCTTGATTTATTAATATAAACACACAGCCCCTTTGACTGCCGACATTTGGATGTAAGTGTATGGCAAGTGTTTGCTGTTAGTGTCTCTTGCCTCTTCTGCTACTCAGTCCTTTGCCACCTTTAACATGCTCTGAACACTCTGAGTAGAATTTTTATTGGTGCTATGAGAAGAAGTATGGCCTGAATGCAACACTTTTAGCATGTTTTCATATGATTGAGGGTAGCAGTAAACATTTTGTGTTCTGCTTTAGCTTAAAAGAAAGGACACAACATTTAAACTCACACCATAGTCCAGTTTTCTCCACCGTGCCTTGTATGTGTACACCCATCTCTTCTTTCTGCAATCTTTATTTCCTTTCTGAGCCTATCTCCCTGTTGTCCTGCTGATCAAATGTTGTGTGTCATTCTTGCCTTCCTCTAGCTTTTCTGCTAAACATTATCAAAAACTGGTTTGGGGGAACATATAATTTTCCATGCTTTTTTTATATTTCTGCTCACTTCCTGTTGGTCATTGTATTTTTGCTTTGGAAAGTTTAGTTTATACATTTGGGACTATAATAAATCCTTTTATGAAGAAAATTAGCTTATTCTCTTCTCCATTTCTGGTTTCCATTTCCATGTCTAAATAGAGAGTGCTGGCTATTTCTGGAAGTTTGGAAGAAGCCATTTTGTTTTGAGGTGTAAACCAGAAACCCTTACAGCTGAGTATAGTTATTGACACTTCACTAATTATGTATTTCTGTAAAAGTGGACATTTAATAATCTGGTTCTAAGTGAATAGAAATACAAAGTCGAATTCACACTTGAAAAAATCACTGTATACTCATGAAAATTGAGTGCACGACAATACACTGATTTCCCAAACCAGCAAAGAGCGGTAACTTCTGTGTGACGTCTCTCCCTGAGGYTGTCTTCAAAGGATCAGGGAGTAACAGAATGCCATCATTGTCAGGAAAAAAGGGTAGCCACAAATTATACATTTACATACAAATTATACATTTTCTTTGTTGGAAGGTTAACTATGAGTGGTAAGAATTCTCATTTAGTTTGATAATAAAGAGGTGGAACACAATAATAGCAAAATTTGCAAATAGCATATTTTTTGTTTGATTAGCCAGTTGTTWRCATGTTGCRGAMCCCTTGCCAAAACAGAAGAAAATGGATGAGATTCAGTTTTCACAGACRTTGTAATATAAGATTATGAATATCGTTCTGTCCWTYTTTCTGTCTAAAGCTCTTAATTCTYACCAAAAGAAAAAGAGAAATGGTYMAATGGCAGAAAAACAGGTGAAAAGTACTTTAATATCAGTAATAAAGACTATTCCATCACCATTCAAAAGGCCAATAGTGAAAAACAGTTCTTTTCATAGTGCAATGAATGCCCAAGTTAGAGCCAGCTAACATGAACAAAGGTGTTTTATAGGTTTTTTCCTAGCTTTTCTCTTCTTTCCATCACCATGCCTTTTCCTTTTCATATTTTCTGAAGAGAATAAATTCTGTAGCATTTGACTTTTCATTATCCAGTGTGCATATAGCCTTTTCCTACTCTGGTGTTTTTCTGTGCTGTGTATAAATTGACATGGCTTTTGTGACTTCAAACAAATGGAACTGTGCCAATTTACACCCTTTCTTTCACTCAGCCTGAATCTGTTGATCAAGACATGGCTTGGATTACACTGTCTGCTATATTTGTAATAGATCAAAAAAGAAATAAAACAGGACCTGACAGTTTTGTCACCAGAAATGAATTCTGCAGTTTGGCACCTGCATTTTAGAATCCACTTAGCAATTCAATTTCTGTTTTGTCTTACAGTATTACTATTCTATAAAAGACATCTCCGTTGGAGGCATGTGTATATGTTCAGGCCATGCGAAGGCTTGTCCGCTGGATCCAATGACCAATGTATGTATTCTTTTTTTTTTTAATGTGCCTTATTTATAGGGTGGAACATGAGCAAAAAAAACCCTGAAGCTGATATTCTTTAGAGTCCCGTGAATTTATTCACCTAGAAGAACAGTGAGAAGCAGTGCCAGGATGAAACAGTGCTAGCGACCAGAATAATAAACATTCATCCAGTGTCAGCAGAGGCTTTACTGAAATGAAAGAATGGGTTTGAGATAATTCATATTGAAAGTTTCCTAGGAAAAATAGAAATCTGGGTTACATTATGTAGCTGTAGAAATGAGCACTAACAGTCAGTCTTTMTTTTCCTTCTTGATATTAATCAAGATATTTCCTAAATGATTGTCAAATATTTAATTGATACTTGCGAACAAATGATGTATTGGTGTATTGACTATGCAGGAAATAGTAATTGAAAGATCAGTTAAGCTAATCTAGAAAATCATGAGCTGTTTATAATATCCTCCAACTTTTAACTCTCTCTTTTTGCACATAACCAATACAATAAAAACATAACCAATGTAATTGATATAGAAATATAATTTGTTACTGATTGTCCAGCTCTATGCACTCATTATCACAAATACTGAATTCCCCATCTACTAATAGTACCTGCCACTGTGTGTCATCTCTTCATGTACTATTCACTGAAGTAGGAGGTTTGTAGGATTTAACTGAAAATCTTATTAGTATGTGACATTGAGTGATTGTGCAGGAAATCGTTTAAAAAAAAGGATGAAATCTTACAGAGAATGCTTTAGAGTTCTAAGTAATTTTTATGGATCCTTGTAAAAATTGAGCAAACTCCTTGGTTTTAACCCTTCCTGAGAGTTTTCTGTCATGGTATGTACAGCAAGTGTTGAACTATTGTTTCAGATGCCCTTAGTGGTCAAACTGCAGCATTGTCTCAGTGCCATCCATTAGAATTGGGCCTGCCTTGGAAAATAAGTGCTGCTGCTGCGATTAATACATWCTTCAGATAATCTGGCTACTAGATAAAATAAAGTCATTTTGACATGTGTGGTGTCCTGTTTTGCAGGATGTCAAATATGTATTTGTTGTCTGACCAGTATAAAAAATAGCATAAGTAAAACAGCTGAARCCAGAAGAGATTTGGAGGTTTAGCTCTACACGGATATTCTTTAGACCGAGCCATGCCAAAACAGGCTTATAAATATTATGACTGTACTTGTTAGCAGAAAGAATCTTTCCCATAGCATTACAGGGAATAAACTTGCTGGAATTTACTGCCATGCTTTTCTGAAGCAGTCTGTGAATTAGCCTTGTTTTGCAAGATTTATGCTTTGTACTGTGAGCYATAGAAATTCTCTAGCTTGCTGCTTTGACCTTGTACGGCCTCACAAGGACCACAGAGAATCCCCTTCACTAAATAACTAACAGCAAGGAAATTTTTACTTCACGTTTCTCCAAACCACAGTGTCTTTTACYGTTTTCAAACTGCTTGTGTGGCTCAGGGATTTTGGGTGTTCCTTACAGCAATATTTTCCTGCTGGGACTAAGGTGGTCTTGTGGGGAACTTTTAAGCGGGACTGAAAGGCTGGACTTGTGCTCATCTATCATTATTTGAAACACTCCTGCTATCCCTCCCATAGAATTAGTTACACWGGTGGAAGATTACATGATAAGTTGAGTCATCCAGTAAAGAATAATTCCAAAGTAATAAAAAAGGCAATTTGTATCGGATTGGCCAACAGAATTGGTTTCGTTCTGCAGCAGCAGAATTGCTGCATCTTAGGGCAGGGTGGAGAATGGCTTGCTCCTTCTGGGGTCAGATCAGTTTTYCTGTGTCTAAAGGCTACCAGTACTTTGGCTTATTTGTTTTATTGGGGATTTTTTCCATCCTCCTTTCTTTATCCAGTTGAAATTAAATTCCCTGTGTTCTTAGATTCTCCATAGATTATCTGGCCAACTATCATCCTTTGCTTCGTGGCTGTTTTCTTCAAATAGAGCTATGGAAGTTAAACACGCTTGGTGAATGCAGGTTACATAAACAAATAAAAATGAACAAGCAAAGGAATTACAGAGTAGAGCCATTCTTAATGTTTTCATAATTTGAACTGGAATGCATTGTATGTACATGGACAGATTCTTCAAATCATCACGTTGTGTAAATATTTGTTTTTCTTTTACATTAGAARTCCATCTGTCAGTGTGAGCACAACACATGCGGGGAGACATGTGATCAGTGTTGTCCTGGTTTCCATCAAAAGCCTTGGCATGCYGGCACTTTACTGCATAAGCATGAATGTGAACGTAAGTTGAAAGCAGTACAGAAGAGAAAATTTATTGCAACTGCTGCTGAAAACTGAAATTGGTCCTACATGATTTTGCAGCTGATTTTGTTTCTAACCACACTGGTTTATGAATAACATTCGATGTGATGTTATTCATTTAATTAGACTGACTCAAAATACTTAGCAAAAAAATTACATGTAGAATTGTGGTTTTATCAAACTCAGACTGTTTTATTGTAACATGGTGATATTTGGGTAATACAGTATTTTTAAAAATTGCCTAGTTAGTTTTTATAACTGTGATGTTTTTGTTTTGCTAAAATAACAGGACTATATCCCAGTAAGTAAAAAAAATGTTTTACAGATTTTTCATTKTATTAAACTTTACTGGCATGTTTTTGTATAGATGGCACTTTTATATGTCATAATGTTCATCCTTGCTAAAGCAAAATACTTTTATATATCAAAATTCATGTTGAGTGTCTGATTTCTTTTAACAGAAAATGCAATGTATCTAGTTTTCCAACATCGAATGAAAACATATCTTGAAATACCAACTTCCCACAGGGTGGGAATTTAATTTTCAGATTTATTGTGTTAAGGGTTGCTATGATTGAACTTTAACATCTTACTTTCAGAGGTCACATACCACTTATATTTCTGAACATACTAAAATTAATGCTCCATTACACTAAGTGTTTATACATTTGTAGGATTCAGCTATAATTTTACCATGAGTGATTAAAAGTAAATAAAAAGGAACAGATATGCCCATAATTAAAGTAGCCATTGCTTATCTGTGTCCTGTAAACTTTGGCCAGTAAAGTCTTTGTTTTAGCTGGGACTGTGTCTGCACTGAGAATGCATTCTGGAATTAAATCAGGGTACATTTAATTTCATGCTTAATTTTTGAAACACGCATGCCCTGTTCAACTTTCAGTGAATTGTTGTACTGTCATGGTGAAAACAGTTTCCTGGGATCTGGTTCAAATGTAAGGAGAATGACTCCCCACACTGTTGACAAGCATTGAATTTCTCTTTATGTTGACATGAATGTATTAATACCATGGGGAAAGGGACAGCGAGCTACCTCATTTTCACTGCAACAGATTACTAGATTATCTTTCCTGCTTTTGGACCTGAAGTCCAGAGTTCAGATATAAATGTAAAAAGATTTAAGATTGGGAATCCCTTTGTTCTGCCACAGTTCTTACATGCATATGTGCAAGTCAGTAATGTTTTTAGGGTTTTTCAGCTTTGATTTTGAATTTTTTTTAATTTACTCATACCGTTCTTCTACTTTCCTTGCAGCTCCTCTTGTATTTTAACTTACACGGCCCTTTCATGAACCCTATGTGTATGCAACCACTAAAAGGTTTCTTGGCTATCAATTTAATCAGAAAATAAAAAAAATTGAACTAAAACAAACCAGTAACATCATAGTGTCAACTTCTGTACTCCACAAGACAAAATATTGAGGGGAAAAAATACAGCAGGCAGAATTTCGGACTGTGTTTATAACAGGACGATATCGCCTTTCATAAATGAAGCAGTAGATGAATGTTTTGACATGCTTTTGGTTACATATACACAAGAAGAATGATAAAGTGTTCAATGACTCTCTTTAATACCTCAGTAACCGTGGGGCATCTCCAGTGGGAAAATATTTGCTAACACTTTCCTTCTCTTTTAGCATGCAACTGTCACGGGAAGACCGAGGAGTGTTACTACGATGAGGACGTGGCAGCGAGAAATCAGAGCTTGAATATCCACGGAGAGTACGTTGGGGGCGGAGTGTGCGTGAATTGCACGGGCAACACCAGCGGCATAAACTGCGAGACCTGCCTCGACGGCTACTTCAGGCCAAAAGGGGTAAACGCCTCTTCTTCTCCTGTCCCTTCCCCTCAAAGCTCRGTGTTCAAACCATCACCTCGGCAGGGGAACTTGCGTTATTGAAAAGAGTTTGGGCTGCCATTTTGTGAAGGTTAACTTCTAAATCTGACAGTGCAGCAGTTGCTTTTCACAGCTGGAAATGTATAAAGTTAACGCTCAGAGAAATAGGAAAGTGAATTGTGTTGATATGAAGGAATGCTCTTGAGGTCAGGGCCTCCAGCTAGTATTTCAATTTAATTTAAAGGAGGATGTGGTCTTGTAAACAGAACTTTTGCCTCAGTAATGAATTTCAAGTTTTGTTATCAAAGTTCAAAGAAATATTGCTGTATTTGGTATTGATGAAAGACAGACTGTAATTTYTACTTTTTAAATGCAATGTGGAATTAATAACCACCGAAATTCTATASTGTTTCATGAATGTCTTTAAATTTCAGTGCAGTGGAAATTGCTTTTTGTATTTCATCATATAAGACTGTATTTTCATCTAAGTGGAAGCTGTCAAAAGATGAATCTTATATTAGGTTGTATTGTGAGTATGGCTCGTTCCTGTGCTTTAGACAGCTACACTATTAGTGTGTGTGTGTAAATTGCTTATATTTCATCTGTATATTTTCAGTGGGAAAATAATGGCCTGTAGTCTGATTGGTGTTCAGCCCTCAAACATAGAAAACATCAGCAAATAGCAGTTATTACATTTTCCCTGATAGACTGGATTTAGCCTTAGAACTTGAGAAAAGGAATACGGAAAACCAATTTCTTCAGCAGTGGGGCACTTACTTTATTTTTTCCTCTGAATCAAGTTACCATCCAACTAAAAGAGATTTAATAGATACATATGTGTGTCTGTGTGTATAGAGTGTATAGAGTATCTGTATGTACCAAGTTCAGGCAGAACTTCTATTTTATATTCCTAGTGTAATATTAGACTAAGGTTTAAGCTTGGTTGAGGTCACCTTTCCAGAACAAAAGGAAATTGTTTCATTGTTTAATGTTCACTTTTCCTAACTTACCTTTTTGTTCACTTACTGAATAATTAGTTAGTTTTTTGGATCATGTTGACCAGAACAACTGATCTACTTGTCAGTATTACTTTAGGTAGTAAATGCTTAAAATCTACCTCATTACATTTATTGGTGTTAATTATGAAAGGTTCTGTTACAATATCTACACCTGTTTTAGTATTTTTTTAGTTGAAAATGTTTTTGTATCTAAGTTTCTAAATAAAAATGCAGATGTAACTTTAATAGAAACAAGAACCTAGAATCATTTGTGTTGGAAAGGACCTCCAACACTTGAGTCCAACCCTTAACCTCACTTTGCCAAGTCCACCACTGAGCAATGTCCTTAAGTGTCACATCTATCCATCTTTTAAATGCCTTCAGGCATTGAAGACCCATTGACAACACTTTCTGTGAAGAAATTTTTCCTAATATGCAACCTCTGGTGCAATTCTTGTCATAATCTGCATGGACTAAGTTTATCAGCTATCTCATTTTTATTAAAGTGTAAGCCACCTACACAGAAGCTGTCCTCTCTTACTTTTTATTTAAGACACAAAAGTTTCCAATTATTGAAGGTAAAGCTTTTTCTTCYAACATCTTTATTTTTATAGGTTTTGCCAGATAACCCAGATCCATGCCAGCCATGTTCCTGCGATCCAAATGGGTCTTTAAATGATACTTGTGTCAAGGATGAGAAACATACAGAAGGAGGTAAGATCCCTCAAATAWAGTGATGTTAAAGATGAAGTTCAGCAATGGTCAAAGAAAAGCTGAATCACATTTTTTTTGTTTTGGTTGGGTTTTTTGGGTTTGTTTGGGTTTGGTTTTTTTTTTTTTGTTGCTGTTGTTATTTTTTAGGGTTTTATGTTTGTTTGTTTCATTTTAGTTTACTCATGCAAATAGTAATCCAGCTGCATTGATTTGATTTTTTTTTTATTTGCTGAGGCTTCTTTCAGATTCATGTCTGGGAAATTTGGATATGTTTGGAATAATATTCCACAGTGGTAAATATTGAAGAATTTGGTGTTAAAGAGCTTTCTTCTTTTACCACAGAGATTAAAAATCATGCAAGAATGATGTTTTAATATCTTTYCCTATCTAAGCATATTTCCATTTGAAATCTACAAAGAGAATTCTGTTTGAAAGGCATTTATTTGCTTTTTGTATTATTCATGTAAGATTGCAAGATGCTTACCATAGCCCTGTAAAAGCTGTCTTCTCATAGACAATAAACTGTCCACTGGGCTTTGGAAACAATGAATTTTCATATTTTTTAATTCTTTCATTGCAAAACTTCTGAAAATACTACAGGAAGRTAACAAAACTCAAGGTCGGTTCTTAAGAGGTGTTAGTGCTAATTGCAGTCWATTGATGAGATGTAGCAATCCTTTAAAATAGGGATCAGTAGAACATAAAAGCAGCAGGGCAGAAATGCAAAGTCAGGGCCCACAGGTGTAAAACCGATTGTAAATAACCATGATTGCATCAGTTCAATAAAGTGATACTGTTTCACTGTTCCAGTGCTGTCTCTGGTGGGTTGATCTCGGCTGACTGCAGCTGCCCACCCAACCACTCTCTCACTTCCCTTCTCAGCAGAACAAAAGAGGAAGCAGCTCATGGGCTGAAATAAAGACCAGGAAATTGCTTGCCAATTATTATCCTGGGCAAAACAGACTTTACTTGGGGAAAATTAATTTAACTTATTGCTAATTTAAATAGATTCACATAGTGATAAGGAAAGGCAAAAATGAAAAATATACCTCTTCCCCCACCTTCTTTTCTTCCCCAGACTCAACCTCACTTCTTCATTCCAGACTTCTCAACCAACTCCCCTGCTACCACAAGTGATGCAGTATGATGGAGGGCAGGGTCATAAGTGGTCTTAGCAGTTCTTCTCTGACAATCCTTCCTCCTCACACTTTTCCCCTRCTCCCTTGGGGGTGCTTCCARTGGGCCTACGTCCTTCATGAAAAAATTTTCCCTACCAGGGTTTCTCCATGGGATGTAGTTCCTTCAAGAAGTATCCAACTTTTYCTTCATGGGGCTGCAGTGTGGGTATCTGCTCCAGCTCGGTTTCCTCTAGGGGCTGCAGTGGTAAATCTGTTCTGGCATCTGGAGCTTCTCCTCCCACTCCTTCCCCTTCTCCATTTTCTGACCTGGCTGGCTGAGGGGCTTAGTTGTATGCCCTGTTGGAGCTGGCTGTGTCTGGCASAGAGCAGTCCTGTCTTTTTCCTCATAGAGGCTGCCCTGCAGCCCCTTTCCCACTGCCAGCACCTGGCCATGGATACCCAGTGCAGTGTATCCTCTGGAGTGGTATTGGAGACAGTACAAGCAGAAGAGAGGATGAATCCCAAAGTTGGCAAAACCACAGCAAGACTGCAGTGCTTGTACCAAACCTGTGGATRAGATTAAACAGGTTACAGATGACAGACAGTACAACAAAGGAACTTCTCAGAATGTCATTTTGAGATGGAGAATGATTAATTCAAAAAAGTACCATGTCCCACTTGCCTGTTACACAGCCGCTTGGTCTCACATTTCTTCTTTGCTGGCCCCTGGTGGGTCATCCTCCTGCAGCCTGGCAGCTGATCAGCATTCAACAGGCTGACAGCTCTTCTCTCACAAGAAGAGGAAAGCAAAAAGATTGAGACATTTTTCCATCTTGTTTGATTGTCAGTAGTGGTGTCCTTAGGAGCTCTCAAAATATCTTATGCCTCTGAGCATTCAACAGATCTAAACCATCTCATAGTTGCTTTCTAAATCTGCTTACACTTTCTGAATCTGACAAGGTGGTACCGTGCTTTGACACCTTGCTATGTCTCATTCTGCCTTTTTAGTGCTCTGATCTTCTTTCTGGCAAATTCTCCTCTTGCCTCTTTTCTGAAACTCTCTAGGAAGAGAATTAAACTCCTGTTTGAATCATTAACCGTGTCTTTCTAGAAAATTGAGAAGCATGTCATGCTACCATCTTGAAGATTACATCTCCAAAAAYGGAATATCTTTTTCTATTTTTGCCTCCTTGTACTTTCACTGCAAGTAGCCAGTCCTACTCATCTGGCCCCAGGCATTCAAAGAAGGTTCGTATCTCCAGTTTCTCCAGTCCTGAGAACCAAAGAATTCTTTCGCTCTCTTCACAAAATGAAAACTCTCATCTTTTCTCTCTTGACTGTAACCAGCTTCTCCTCATCTTCCTGAAACTTAACTCATGCTGCTGCAGTTGATTAGATGTCTGTTGCTTTCAAGCATGTTAGAGTATTCTTAATCTCTGTTGAATCAGCTGCTTGTAACAAATGAAGTAATATTTTTTCATTTTTCAAACCCATTGATGTCTTTTGTTTCCAGCTTACTTATTGCAGAGGTTATTTTGTGTGTTTAAACTATTTCTCCTCATATGTGACAGGCACAACTGTTTAGGTAATTGCCATCATATGTGGAATTCCCTCCCAAAAGTAGTTCATGGTTTTGTTCTTGGGACCAGTTGTGTGTGTTCTGCCCAGTCTTGGAAGTCTAGTGAGAAGTGGACACTTTGCACTGTCTAGACAATGACCTGAGGACAATTTTAATATCTGACTTATTATTTACCTGTTTTAAGACCACCACAACAAAAATGAGCCAACTCTACATTTATCTGGGTATCATAGCCATTCTGCATAGAATGGTCCTGTTCTTTGCTCTTTGTTCTTACTGTTTATTTGCCCTTTTTAAACTTCTTGTAATAAGGTTCTAACACATTATGAAAACTGTTTACTTCTTGCACATTATGTTTGTTTATAGTTCTTTGTAGAACCAGTCACAGATTTGTGACCTTAATAACTTTTTCAGCAAAAAAAAGCATAATAATGCCAGTTGAAAGGAAAAGCCTTTCTAATATATCTTTTAAGGAAAGATGTTTGTGGTAACAGAAGAGGTTGCATTAGAATCAAAAGCAAATCTGGTATAATTTTTACCATAAAACTGTACTGAAGGCAGATCACTTCTTCCCTTTTTTCTCCTCTCACATTTGTATTTGGTACAGTGATAAAATTCTTTTTACTGTATACTGTTCACCCTGGGTAGCAATTGAAGCCCTGGTGAATGTTCATAAAGGAAAGGCTGGAAAGCATGATCTGTTTGAAGGAATATTCCTATTCACCACTGAACCAGAATGAACAGTCTGGGTGGGTTGAAATACATCTCAAGAGCTGCTGGCTGGTTGTTGGAGGATRAATTGTTTGCTTGGTGTTGGTTGGGAATATGCTTTTTAAATGTGTGCTAAGTAAATGTTTTGTGAAAGTAGAAGACATTAACATGGAAATATGATAGTAAGGAACATCACTGGGGATATAGAGTCACTGTGAACAGTTCTCAAGTAAAATTAAGCTGGAGGCTGTACATTCTCTGTTCTTGACTACAGTAGATAAGCAGCAATTAAAATGGAAAATTGTAGCAAATATTGTAATAACTGCTTCATGGATGAAATGCATCAAGAGGATTTAAATGACTGCATCCTATAGTCATAATCAGGTTTTGCTAGATATATGAAGGACGTAGAGAAGCCACTCTATACTATAACATTCATTGTTTCAGGAAAGAAAGAAGTATTGTTGTATATTAGCCATATTAAGTATGTATAATTTCCATTTTGATCAGCACAGTATAACTTTGTCCTCACATGCTTCAGTCAATATTCTAAAATCAAATATTATTATTTTAGCTTGTGAAGTATATTTTTGGTTTTGAATCTTCAAGAATGCTTTTTAATTGTTCTTATACAGTAATTCTATATAATAGGTTAGTGAGCAATATAAAAAAGAGAAACTTAAGACTAATYGTGGGGTATTGATAAACTAAACTGATGAAAATGCCTCTAGGTTTTGTAACTGAAAGGCAATGATTTTAACCCTGAACTTTTCCACCTGTGTTCAATCCATCCTAGTAATAGCTAAACTTGACCAYTGCTGATATTGCAGTTTTCCATACGGAAGCCTAGGTCCATTAGAGCTGCACTGTACCCCAGTGATTAGGGCTTTTTTCAATGAATTGTTACTCTTTTTTCTAGCTCTAATGGYGAGATTTTAGCAAATAGTCATTTTACTTGGCTTTTAAGCACTGCAAGAACTGTGACATTTGGAACCTGTCAGAGTTTAGTGACTCAGTCTTCAGGTCATGCTATCACTTTTTTTCCCCTATTGCTTCTTTATGTATGATATAATCCCAATGACAAATGCTTATTTTTGTTGAAAAACTTCCTCAGACATTTTAGGATAGGTRAGATCCAGACACCTTGATCTTTATTCAGGCTTTGTAGTACATTGCTCAGCGAGCAGTCCCACTGACTTCCATGAGATAATTTTTGAAATTTATACACTGTTGAACAGGAGTTAAAATGACAAGAGGCCAGTCCTAGGATTGCAGGTTTTATAAGGGGCTGGTGCATGCTTTTGCATGCATTTATTTTTGTGCAGTTTTGAAAGACTGCTGGGCTACTAAAAACTAACTGGTAAAACTCATATTTCAAGATGACTCATTCTCTAGGACACACTTTCAAAGCCTCTCTATGCTGAAAGATGGGACAGAAACTGATAACATGCAGGGAGAAATCAGGGAATAACAGCTTTGTCAAATAAAGCCCCATTCAAACAAGACCTATGAAGTTATAGACCAAAAGCAAAAGATGTCCTTTTTCTGAAATACCAATTAATTGAAATACCAGTTAATTAYACCAAAAACAAGAGACAGACCTGAGACATCTGCCCTGAATTGGAATGTAGTTAGACTGTTGACATAATGCACATTATATATGCACTACAGCAGCCTAATCAAAAATTACCAGTGGGACGCTGAGAGGAATTTACACACTGTGTAACACAGGAAGAGCTGAGATCTCCAAGAGCTGTAAATGAAAGAAGGCGTGGAGCCAAATTAAGTACACAGACTAACTGTATCAACAYGCGTGAGAGCTGGAACAAGATAGGACAGGTAGCAGTCTCCTGCCTTCCTCTCTCTCATGTGGAGTGTGAGGTGTCTTGCTAAGTGTTGTGCTGAGTTTATCCATGCCTGTGTGTGCTGTATTAGAATGATGGATCTGGGATGGTGACCGTGGAGTTTCAATATGGTCTCTCTTCCTAAACTGCATAGAAAGGAGGAGCAGGAGGAGGGATGGTTCTTGTTGGGAAGCTAAAAGTGGATGGAGTGGGCAATGGAGAAGATACTATAGATTTAAATGAGTATTTGGGAGTTCCATACTGAGACATTTAATTGAATTTRAGCTTGCTGAGACTTGATTTGTGAGATATGGGCGCCTGAAGCTTTCAAATGAGATGGGCTCACCTCTAGAGTAGACTTGCCTGTGTCTTTTACTGCTGAGCCCTGGAGTATAGCCAGATATTTTCATCTGGAAGGAACAAAAGTTTCTCTGTTCCAGATTGTCCAGTTAGGATTTATCCAGTTACACATTTATCCAGATTACAAGAGTTTGTGGCCTGCTGTGCTGTAGGGCCTTGATGGTAGCTGTTTGAGAGGAGAATAACTCAGAAATTTGAGAATCAGCTGAGCCAAAGGCATCAAAACCCATGGAGCACATCACTTTGAGATAGTAAGTAACAGAAATTTCATGCACTGAATTTCTGTATATAATTAGGACAGATCAAGAAGGTGACAGTCATTATGATGTACTACAGGAGATCAAAGAGGCTGCAAGGTTAGAGTAGACAGATTGAATTTCACCTCTCTATAGATTAAGAGATAATATAATTTAAAACTCCTGTAGGTGGCTGCTTCTTCAAATAGCTAGTTAGAGAAGCCATAAAAAGGAGAAGCACCTCTGGATTTATGCATGAGGGACTGTTTTAGAACTCTTCTCCTGAAGGGCAGTCAAATTCAACGTTCTTGTAGGAATGAGAAAGCCTCCCTGAAAAACAACTTAATCAAAACAAGGAAACCTATAAAAGGAAAATAAAAATGAACAATCCAAGACTGCTAATGGTAAGCTTAGGATTTATACACTTTATATTAGACATTCAGAGAAGATGCATTTCTCTGGTCCAAAATTATTCAAGCAATGCAATTAAGCTGAAAAAAGGATACATCTATTTAAACAATAAAACAAAACTCACTGAAAAACAGAAGTTATTTCCAACTAGGAATAATAGAAAAGAATATAAACTGTGACAGTAAGTTTAAACTTAAATATAAACATTCCAGTAAGTCATGCTCCTAATAATAAATACACATATTTTAAGGAATAATTTGCTAAATACTTAGATGCTGCTAAGAAGTACTTATTCTGATAAATCAGAATCAAACAGACTGCTGTGTATGCAGAGGGAGTTAAATATGGTTTAGGTGGAATCAAGTTATAAATGGACACCTCAAGAAAGAAAGGAACAGCAGAAAAACTGTGAATAGAATAGCTCAGGGAATTTCCCACTTGGGAGTCTTTGTTCATAGGGACAAGTCAGAAGAGCTGGCTCAAACAGAAATTTGAGGTTTAAAGCAAGCTGATAAATGCAGAATAAAAATTTGTCAGGCATGTAGTGTATTTATTCATGGGTTCAGGATGAGTTGAGTAGTTGAAAATTGAGCTGCTTGAGGCATTAAATATAGCTTATAATATTTTTTAAAACAGTCATTAATATTAAATAGACATTGTTTATCCAAAAGAAACAGGGTTCCAGGAAATTAGAATCAGGTCTGGTTTCTGTTCCAAGCAAATAACTGGAACTACAAGAAATTATTTATACCATTTCTGAAATGTGGCAAAAATGGGCAAAACTCAAGACCGGATTTTATGTAGAGGACAGTCTGCCTTTTGAATCTGTTTGAAGGATTAAATGAATATGTGAACAAAAGCTCATTTGATTAATATTATATTTTGATTTTCAAAAGGTTTTGACAAGAGCTTTTACCAAAATTCACAAAAGAAAGTGCAATAGAATAAGGAGAAAAGGTTCTTTCATGGCTTTAGTACTTGGTTAAAAGAATAAATGGACCATTTTCACAGTGATGATCAATATGAACTGTTGAAAATATTCATATTTAACCTGGAGAAGGGATGAGTAGGAAGGTGRCAAAGTTAGCAAGTACAAAATCTTTCAGCATAGAAAAATGAAAGAACTGCAAAATGTTCAGAAGGATCTCAAGATAGTCAGTGGCAGGGTAGTAAAGTAAATGATGAATTTTTGTAGCAATTACAGGAAAAGTAGAACACTGAGAAAAGTAGTTCTACTTRTACAGTGATTTCAGTGATATCTGAATTAGACACTACCAGTTGTGAAATAGCTCTTGGAATTACCTTAGACTGTGCCTCACATCTGTCAACTCAGTTCTGTCTCAGCAGTAGCCAAAAACATCAACAGGGCATTAAGAAATACTACTGTTTAAAAAAAAAAACAAAAACAAAAACCTGAAAAAGATCATCAGGAAAAGCAATCAAACCAGTCTCTACAGTATGCGCTCCCTTCTTAAATAATTTATTAGAACTGGAAACAGTGCAGAGAAGGACAACAGCAAGCCACACCAAGCAGTTTCTGCATAGAAATATTGTTAGGAGTTTGTGGCATATAAGGTAAAAATGTCATGTAGGGTATGATGGAGGTATATTGAAATCATGGATGACACAGATACAGTGAGTGGTTGCATGCTCTTTTCTATGATATGACAATTAGAAGGCAATAAACAGAGATTTAACACACTGTGTTTTCTTTCACACTATACAAGGCTAAATGTGGAACTCCCTGCTAGGGAACCTTATGGATTCTGAAAGTAAAAGCATGTTGAAAGGCCTTTGGATGAATTAATGGAAGGGAATGTTTTCAGGGACTGTTAAAAGCAAGGAAATAGGGATAAGTTTGATTTTTCAAGTCTTCTAATAYGCAGATTTCTGGAAACTCAGAATTCAAATCACTTTGCACTTACCCTGTTCTTCCATGGTTCATTTTAGCCTTCCTCAGATGACTCTGAGTTAAACAGATGGTGGTGTGAGCAGCAGTAAACACCCCTATATTAAACCTACCAAAGKTGTTGCTTTGAACACTCTAACACACATATCTGGCAATAATAATGATAAATGAAATATAATTCATGTKTTCTCCCTCTTCCTGTAGATATGTTGCCTGGCTTCTGTCACTGCAAGACTGGCTATGCAGGAGAAAGCTGCAATCAATGTGCCTTGGGTTATACAGGATATCCTGAGTGCCTRCCCTGCAACTGCTCCCTCGAGGGTAGTGAAAATGATGACCCCTGCATAGGTCCCTGCATCTGCAAGGTATGCATGTCAAATTCTTCTGAGCCATAGAAAGATACTCATGATACTGAAAGATTGCAGTTAATGCTTTTCTATCATGCAGCAGGATTCCAATGTTCCACCTAGCTGTGTTATTATCTGTGTTAGCCACTTGTCACACAACACTTGTTCTTGGTCCTATAAAATCCTAGATGGTCTTATGTCTTCTCAGAACTCACTGCAATCAACCTATTTACCAAGGAGCCTGCTGCCAGTCATACAAGTCCTTAGAAATCTGTTTTGAAGGGRTGCTTACAAAGCCTGTGAATCATCTATCCTCATCGACACAGAAACTATTGTTTGCAGTGTTGTGGATTCTAAATCTAACTTGTAAATTTGACTTTGAAAAGAGAAAATGAAGTGAACTGATGATCTATTAAAATGAGAAAGTTGCCTTTTAGGAGTAGTCATTAGGGGTATATGGCATTCTTTCCTGCCTTGGGACAGTTCTTTAGAAATCTGTAACACGTTTAAAATATCAAAATCTATCCTTTCTGTAGAATGAATTTCTCAATTTCCAGGAAGAAAATTTAAGATGGTTTTTCTCTATGTGCCGTTGTGTACCTCCACCAAAACATATTTTGATATTATATTGAAATAAAAAACATTTTAAAGCACATGCATCCACATRAAAAATACCTAGCTCTCAGAAAGCCTTTAGAAATGGTTGTTCTTCCTAAGTCACAGTCGTTAGTGACCATGAATATGCCCAAAGGACAACTTACTGTACTGTGGATCAATTTTTCTATACTGTTCTTATGGGATTTTCCTTCCAAAATTTAATTAACAGAATTAGTCACAAATGAGAATTTAAAAATACTTACATGACATCCTTAAATACAGACATGTACAAGAAATGCCTCACTCTCATGCTGCGGACACATGCAAAGCTCTGGTTTGACAGCTGAATAGCACTGAAATCTACTCAGAGAATTAACCTTATCCTCACTTTATGTAACAGCCACGTGCTCTCTGTCAGAAATAAAATCATCCATATCACATTTCTAATTACTTAGCCATCAAGTCTAGAAGATCATAAAAGGGTGCTTTTGCTATGTTCTGGCTTGAAATGGAGCTTTGATGAGGGTGTGTTATGCTAAATACCAGATAACTACTGCTTAATGATTCTTATGATATTATTTGCGTAAAGCCAAACTGACCTGTGAGTACAATCAGACCAAAAGGAACAAATAAGAAATAGAAATAAATGTTCCTACCCCAGTTCTCATTATATGTGCTTTTCCCTCAGTGTTCATCTTTTGTCTTCTTTGTGCTCCTCCAATCCCTTTTCAAGTGCCTGTGAGAGTAAAATGGTACCTTTTGTGGATAGCTGGGATACAGATACAAACACATTTATTTTCACAAGCAATATTCAAATTCAAATCAAAGCAGAGTGTGGTCAAAGGGACACTGAAATCATCAGATTAGTTATGCTCCATATGAAAAAGAAAGTGGGATGTCTGGTTAATAGCAGGTCTTAGGAAAAATGCTTCCCTTCTTTTAATCACATCTTTCAATTACCTCTGATGGGCTGTAAATTTGCTAAAGATTGTTTTCTTGTAAAGGAAATTGCTGAAAAGCCATTCTARCTGTAAGCAGCAAAATGCAACAAAGTGGGTGTTAGATTGTTATCCTTGCCACATKAACTAAACTAAAATAAAGAAAGAGGGGAGAGCCTTTTTTCCACTAATTATTGCAGCTTTTTGAAGGTGTATGGTCAGTCTCATCTTTGGATAGCTTAATACTGGACTGAAAAGTATTGAGAAATACATGGGGTTGCAGAAACATTTGCTGAAGGATAGGTTAGATTTCCTTTCCAACTTGGAGCTTTATTTTATCTATTATTCACTGAATTTACTTCCTACTCAATAAATTCTGCAGATTTTACTCATAGATGATGTTTGTGACTGCAGAGTGGGAAACTTTGCATTTAAACACATACTTTTGCTTTGCAGCTCTCTTTTTTATTTTTCCCTTCCCACTCTGTATACACTAAGCACATCTACACAGTGTGAAATTTTTGGAACCAGTGTTCATAATTCTAGTTTCTTYAATAATGAGTGACAGTATTTCTGTGCCTAGATGTTGCCCACATTATTTTTCACATGAAGCATGAGTAACYGGTTGATTTTGACATACCTGTGGCAGTAATGTGCATTGATTAACCCTAGGATTTCTGGTGCAAGTGTAAAAATGCCAGTCTTGAGATTAATGAGATGTTGAAGTTAAATGTAGTTGACTGAAAACCTTGAGTTGTATTAAAGATATTTGTGGTTTGTTTAATCTGTATGATGTTATTGAAGGCGAGCATAGATAGACCATAGCAGTAGAGACAGAACAAAGGTATTTTGTTACTGACATTGTTACTCTATAATTAGTGGTGAAAACTATGCAACATTTTCGTTGTATCTMTTTTTTTTTTTTTTTTKCCTGTTCTTGCCCGTTTCGACACACTATCTCTATTTTCTCTTATTTCATGTGTGCCATCCTTTCTCCCCATACCTTCACCTGCTTTGCCCTGCTTTTTCCATCTTTGCTACATCTTAACCAGGAGGCTATCAAATGGCTTTCAGTGAATTTACTTCAGATCTGTGTATTTTGAGCTACCCTAGACTACACAGCGTAGGCAGGCTTTTTATAATGTGTTCATTCTCTGCTGATGTAGAGCCAACAGTTCAGTCCTGTGTGCATACAGGAGCGCTGTCTCCAGGGTTAAAGAGACTGTGCATTATGCTTCTGAAAGGGGAAGGATTTTCTGTGCTATGATGGGGAAAATACTGAATTACTAAGACAGCATCAATCATGAGGCTCCTGCAACACACTCCTTGTAGGAAATACAGCTTTAATTTTGCCTATAGGACAAATTGATTTATAGTGTAAAATAGGAGGATTTAACGCACAACATAAGCTTTCTATGAGAAATATAATTACCAAATGCTAAGTTTAGAACAGCTCATGTATATTTAGTGCTTGTCTTTCTGCAGGGGAAGTGTGTGCAAATATGGCTGCATGGCTGACAAAAGCATGTAGTTATGAAAAGAAGTGCAGCCCTTTTAGCACTTGTATTTATCCTCAATTCAGCTGTTAATGATAGACCTCTGAAAAACTGATACTGTGAGTGATTAGTGTGACTACTGCTGTGTTCCTGTAGTTTGCTTCAGTTGGATGTGCATGGATTTTATCATCCTCACCTACGTACTGCAGTTGTTGAGGTYGTAACATTGTGCCATACTTCCTTCCCCTCTGAGACTCTCAAGTGTAATGGATATATATTAGCTTTATTCCCTGAAATAAAGTATGTCCATTCATAGAGAAGAAAAATGACAACTCCTTTAATGTCCAAATTCCATGTCCTGTTTTTTACATGCAGCCACATAGTACTCTTTATTGTGTAAAGGATTTGCTACTAGCATTAACAAATAAGTGTTTTCTATAAATGTCATTAGAGTCCTGTTGAAGAGTAAAAAGTCAGTGATCTCCAATTCTCATCTATGACAACTGAAGTTATACTCTAATGTGCCTTTCCAGGAACATGTGGAAGGAGAAAACTGTGATCGTTGCAAACCAGGTTTCTTCAATCTTCAGCAAAATAATCCTGAAGGCTGTGAGGAATGCTTCTGCTCTGGGAAAACAAACACCTGCACACACTCTCTCTTCACCTACAGAAATGTAAGGAAAATCATACCATACCAGCACATGTCATTGCTTTTGTRTTTTTGTGTGTTGTCACCATTGTCACCAGGTTTCTTCATATTAGAAAATCATGCATGTTCTTTATGCCCCATATGACTTCATGTTCCTTTTGCTACTGGAGCTATTGTACAATTCCATGATATTTTTCATTTATCCAAAAGAAAATGCTTATAAKCTTTGTCTCTCTTTGTGAGAAAGTTCTGAAATAGAGCAGTTARAACAGCGAAAAGCACAAAAGAAGCTATAACAATAAAAAATGAAGCCATATGCATAAACACAGTCCTGGAGTGTGCATACATAACCACTCCTGTGCTAAATGCACCATATCCATAGGGCAACCTCTTTTCCAGGTAATTACAAAATTTTTAGACCTGAAATAATTAAGAATTTCAAAGCACTRAATGTACTACACACAGCTTAAGTAAGAAAAAGGRATGCCTTGCAGGGGGCATTTTGAATGCATTTCCTTTTTTAGCTGCATTCCTAGGAAAGGATGTGAGAGGGAGATGAACCTACTGTTCTTATTTGTACTGTAGAAAAATGTCTTTAGCCTGCAAATATTCTCTAAACTGGAAATCAGTTCTCAAAGCCCAGACACTGATTCCACTGAAATGGATGTATGCTACATATTCATGCCTGTTGATCGAGTTTRGGAAATGTGTTCCAAGTCTACTAGCTCCTGATTTTGGCCATATTGTTATGCTGGAAGCCTGCAGATAATACCATATATGTCTAGTGTTCTCATTTACATTGCAGCAAGTGGGAAATTTTCCATTTCATGGCTGAGCTCATTTATTGTTTTGCTTGTGTCCAGACTCCAGAAGCYGTCCTTGTATGAACAGTGTGCTCTTCTCTGCTGGTTTATTTCTAGTTATGGGAATTCAGAAAATCAAGTTCTGGTGCTTTCCAGCACCAAAAAAGTATAAAAGTATAAAAAATATATTTGAACTTGCAAGTTGTAAAGTTCTAGATTTGAAAATTATTATAAATTATGTTGCCTACAGCAATCAGAAATGTATATCCATTGGCCAGCTTGTCTTTGGTACAGTCTGTGACTGATACTGTTTAGTAAAAACTTGTGTAATGTTTATAGATATTCTTGCACATATGTTTGTAYGATAGAATTTCTTTCTTGCTCTGGATCATGAAGCACAGAACACAAATACTTGCAATTACTTCAGACACAGAAGTTCTAACTCTCAGTCACATACAATAAGAAATGTTTGCTGTTACTTCTTTGTGTTTTCCTTGGGTCCTACACTGCTATTAAACCTAATCAGTTTTTTTTTTTTAAATGAAAAAATGAGAGGCTGTGACTGTTGAAATGACTGATGTCCTGATTCTTATTGTAWTGTGGTATTTATTTATTTATTTATTTTCCTATCATAATAGATAGAAGACATGAATGGTTGGTATCTGACAGACTTACCAGGTCTCATCAGAGTTATCCCCACGCAAAGGAGATTTGATGGGCATCAGCAGCTTAGCATCAGCAACGTGGCTGCACAAAAAGTATTGCCACAGATTTACTATTGGAGCGCACCCAGTTCTTATTTGGGCGACAAAGTAAGTGCAGATGGTACCTGCCTAAGTGCTAATTTGATTTATTGAGAAAAAAGGTAAGGCTTTGAAGGGGGTGGAACTGAGGGAGGATTAAATTGGTTGGCAATTTGACCTGCAAAATTGCAAGCAGAAATAAATCACCTGTGTGGGGTATCCTTGTGAGGGAAAAAGTTAGGTAGAGAAAATTAACTAAGTGTCTTTAACCTTGAGTCCTCTTTGATCTCATGCTGTCAGGTGTTAGAGAGGTCCAGATCATTCACAGCRTTGGTTTTTGAATGAACTAGCTGCTGTGTGTTTCAGCTTGGCCTGTTCTCTTCCCACCTTGTCCTCTGCTCTGAAAACCAGTTCCCTCATCTCCTTTTCAGTGATACAGGCTGTGTATCAGATGTTGTGGGGGTGTGTTACAAAACTTTAATGTTTGTCAGGAAACTTGTGTGTGGGGAGCTCTCTGGCCTGGAGCTCAGAAAATGCTGTTGTGAACTTTGTGRCAGTTTTAATCCATGTATTTAAGTCCTCATGTACCTAAGTGTGCGTGTACACATATTCATGCCCARCAGGTTAATACCAAATCCACAATACTTTCATGAAAACCTCTTTTATTCTGGAGAGTGGAACTGAAGACTGAATGACTCTTAAATGTGAAGAAAGCTTAACAGCTTTCCATTTACTGTAACCCTGATTATGGTAGAACTTAGCAGAAAYGCTAACACTGATGTATTTGAGCACATTTTCCTCTGTAGTCACTTCAGGCTACTCAACCTCTTATTTATTTATTTCTTCCTGTTGGCTGAAAATCAACATGACAGAAGGTAAGTGAGCATGTTGAAACTAAAGAGCATCATTCCAAAGAATTGGGCATCCTGTTCATGGCTTATAAATTGTTAAAGAGAGTCAGGCTTRCTTAGCTGGGCAAGGGAGAGTTTTTCTATTATATTCCGTGTCTGGTGAACTTACSCTGAAATATGAAATGATACTTTTCCAGACAGAATTTCATCTCGCTTCTAGTCAGTGAGCGAAATAATGGTAGGAATATGCACAAATTATTTGAATGTGGAAGATATTTTTTCAGTGTAATTTGGAGGTCCTTTGTGGTTACTGTCAGATATTGCTGTATGAATGAAGCAATTTGCCTTAATAACTGAACCATATAAATTTTTGATACTACAATAACACTGAAAGCACTCAAATTACCACAGTACATCTTAACTGTCATGTTGCATCACGTAAACTATAGTCATAATGACATGCCTAGGCCAGATGATTTATGCTATGGAAAGGGAAATGGAAATAGAATATTGAGAGTCCTTATTTGTAAACTCAATAAAACATTTYTCTAAATAGCTGAAACTGAATAAAACCAAATAGCTGAATCTAGATTAAAACATCYTTTCTTGAGAATAACTGCTAGTAATAGAATAMTTGGTATCTCAAAGCATGTAAACTSTTYAGAAATTTTTGTCKTAAGAAACATAGGAAAAAAAATTAGGAAATCTTTCATTAAGATGTACACCTCTGTTGTAATTTATAAACCTTGTGTCACAGAAAGCTGCCTCTCCCTTGTATTGTTAAAATTATTCCTCTTAAATAATATTCCCCAAAATAAAATTGCATAATGGGAGGTAGTAGCCATCCTGCATTTCCTAGTTTTCACATATAGCTCAAAAACCTTATATCAAACAATTCTTTTGATATGAAGTTGGTGTGTCCTGCGTGTGCCGCCACAATGTTGATTGACACATGTGTGCTGTCTGCTTGTTTTACATCAAWCTCCAGCTGCCTCTTTTGGAGGGAAAAAACATTATAAATAGGATGCCCCCATGCAGCCTTCAGCTTTTTCTTTTTCATCTAAATCTGGGTGACATTAAGCTGTGTGATACTGGTCTTTGACTATGTCTCAAAGGAGACATTATAAATAACAGGAGGCTATGGATGGTACAGGATTCGTGTTCATGTCAGAGTGGGACAAAAACATGAGCAAATTACTTTAACATCAATATACCATTTTAGTCTTCTAAATAKATGTGCTGCTACCAGAACTTACTCTTTGTTGTATAAATTCAGATAATTTTAGAAAAAGCCATATAATATGCATTTGAACTGAAAAATTGAGCACTGCTTTTGATGCAGGATACATTTGGGAGTAATCTGGAGAAATTTAATTTCTAGAAATAAAATATCTAGTGGATAATTTGAGAGAACGGATTTTAAATGGCTAGTGTTAAGGTTTTAGTAGGTGTCATAAAACAGTTTATATTCCTGCCTRCCTACCTTATCATAGCCTGCTGAACTAAGGATTGCAACAATCATGAGAACTTGTGCTCTATTATAGCTTCTGGCATCTGAAAAATTGCATTATTCTATAAACTCTAATTACCGTTTAGGTTTGAAAACCCCATTTGGTTTTTGTTAGCAGTTTCTTAAATTGTTTTGACAACAGATCTGTTGTCATGTTTTAAACATGTCCACACTAAAATATTTTATGAATTTGTCTGAAAATGTTATGAGTTACAGTATGATAACGTTTGATAAGAGCACTGAAAATAAAGTATAAATTTAATTAAAAATTAGATACCCAACTCAACAGGAAAATGTGAAACACTTGTTTCTTTAGAGTGAGTGCAGAAGGGTTAGGTGTGTGTGGTATTTTGGAAGTCTAATGTTGTGTATATACTCTGCCTCTTTGAAGCCTCATCAAAAAGCAGTTTGATAATTTGTATGATGAGTAGAAGCTCTTTATAATCAGACAAAAGTAAACATGTTATTCAGCATATCTAAACATATGACACCCCTCCCCACCCCTCTGTGAGACAAACATGAGAGGTGGCTGAGGCCACTTGAAATTCCATGAGGAGTTTCGTCTTTGGTTACATACTTCATTTTCTTTTCTGCAGCTGCAAGTTTTATCTTCCTTTCTCTGCCAAGGGCCAGCTTTAACATGAAGGTGGAGATTTACCCTGCCTTTTTCAGATGATTAGATGTCACCTGCAGTCGCAATCCTTAGGTGGAGTTCATCTTAGTGTTCTAATCTCTGGATATTGTTAGGTCTCAATATCCACCACATTATACATYCCCTTTAACTATTTGAAGTGTCTAGGTTTTGAGAAGACACTAATGCTGCTGTTTCTCAAACTGCAAAAAAACATGATTGAAACCCTAAAGCACTTTTTCTCAAAGCCACTGTATGCATACTGACAGACTTTGATTGAGAAGTTTCTTCAACCCTGTTTTACAAGAATCTTTTAATTTAGTGGTACAGCATGATCCCATTCATTACAAGTAAGTTTAGTGTAAGCTGGTCCTTCATGAAGTCAGAGGATGTTGAAAATTAAAGTGAAAATGTTTGAATGAAGCTTTATTATCTCTTGGAAAAGTTCTTGGACATTGTGTTTGTCAACTCCACAGACCTAAAGCACCTGTAAGGTAGATACTTTTCTTTCTCTGACATCTAGTTAAAACCAAGACAACAGTTGAAAGTTCGGTGTAGAGTCTGTGCATGCAGAACAGGAAGGGGATGTTTTGGCCTTGTCACTTCATTTGTTTTGCCTGTTATTTTATAATTAGCTCTTTGCTAATAATCTGTTTGCTGACTTAGAGAAGTCATTGTTTCTTTGAGTCCAGAAATGAAGACACTGTAATAAGCCTGTAGTCAATAAATACAAATTTTAAATATCTGTCAGCCCTTTGAAAGTACTTTGCTTGTGGAAAACTAGATTGGGATAGAGTGAGCAGTTTATTTTGTGACATATTATCTATTGCAGAGTGCCTAGAATACCTCATAGGATTAAATATTGAATTATAAAATCATAAACTAGGTCCTCATGGCTTTTATGTTTATTTCCTTCCATTTGCTTTCATTTCTTAGGCGATTCTGATAAAAAAGGCAGAATAATGCAAGCAAATTGCAGTCTGTGGCTCCCAGGGGGGAGGGATGGAGTTGAGACCCAAAACATAAAGAAGCATAAATAATACAATAATCAGCTGRAACTGAAATGCCGGGATCAATTGTCCTAAATTATGAATGCATCTAAGCTCAGAAAGCTTCATCTAGTATTGTCATGGTTTCAGATCTCAAGATTTTCTTGTTCATAGGACATGATGGAGTTAAATAGACCTACAACTCCTTTACTTTTAGTGCCTGCCTCAAAAATTTAACATAAAACCTTTTGTTATAAATGGGCAAAATAGAAGTTAAATTGTACTTAGAAGCTACTTTTTTACCATCAGTTTGTTCTGAAATTATTTGGCCTAATGAAATTAATCTAGCCTACAGAATTCCAACACAGCTGTGTCTTAAATTCAGGCAGCAGACTGATTTTTTAAAGCATGTGTCTGTATTGCTTTTATTCTCAGGGAAGTGAAGTARTGAAACTTAGGTGGGCTGGTGTGATCTCCCTTTGTGCACCTTTGTAAGAAAATCCATTCTTTCAGCTGGTTATATGGACAGTTTAGGGCATCAGTAGATTTTTTCCCCAATGCATATGGGCTGTCCAAGCTTAAGAARGTCACCCTTTAGTAACCTGGTGGTAGTGCTTGAAGTTTTTGCTCCCTGTGAGGGAGYTTTCATCAGTTGTGGTAAGGCCAGTACTTCATGATGAATTTGCCTTTTTTATACCGTCTGTGCATGAAAGTGTCAGGCCCAGATTTGAATGTGTAACAAAGCGCATCTCCAAGCTTGCAAAAGTAAATTGGGAATGGAGTAGGGAATGTCATCCTCAAATGTAAGGCATAAAACAATTTTGTAGGGACATGTAATGATTCTTAATATGTTATGAGTAGGATGAAATAGTTGAGTTATATGCATGTTATCCATATCTATTAAAGAAACAGTAATAGGCATCAGCAGCACATAAAATACAAAAAAATATCCATTCAGTGTTATTCCCCTGAAATTATTCACAATTGCTGCAAATTTCAGAGTTTTTAAAATAATCAACAGCCAAAACATGGCAGAAAATTAAAATGAATCATTTTAACCAAAAGAAAAAATAAATTTTGTAAAGACA